GAGCATCTGATTAGATGATCTCAGAGCCCGAGAGGGAACATATGGTTTCAGCAGCTCAGAGAGGTAGATGGGAGCTAGACCATTGAGGCACTTGTAGGTCAACAGTAATATTTTAAAGTCGACTCTGGTTTGAACAGGGAGCCAGTGAAGGGAGCAGAGAACTGGTGTGATGTGCTCTGACCTGCGTGTACTGGTTAAAAGCCGAGCTGCTGCATTTTGGACAAGCTGAAGACGTGTGAAAGAGGCCTGGCTGACCCCCGCATACAGTGCATTGCAATAATCCAGGCGGGTTGTGATGAATGCATGGATTAAGGTCTCCAGGTCCGGTCTGGACCTGGAGACTGGAACTAATCAGTATGCATTGCCAATGCAATGCACACTATTGTGATTCGTTTCCCATCCAAGTCATCTCAAATTTGTCATGCTTCTCCTCCTGCATACTTTGTCTTAGAGCTGCCATTGTAATTTATATCTGTAAAGCCCCTGTGCCAAATGATGGCTATGCCTTTTGGTGCCTGTAGAACTTGTAGTTTTCGAAATATTAATGTTTAAACTTTATTCCAAATTCATGTAATGAGAGTCAATGGGGCCTTGTAATGGTCCAATACTRCCCCCAGCTGTACTCAACTTGGTACTGCACCATAGTTTTTTTATATTTCATCTCAATAGTTCTGTGTTTACAATACTAATATGATTGTATTTGGATGTTTTACAATAATATTGTCTTAATACTGCTCTATTGTTGTAATATTATGCATTTTTGTGTCAATAGTTGTATTGGCAATGTGGCCTCTTTCTGCACACATACAAACCAACCCCTGCCACCACCTTCTGCCACAACTCCATTGGTCTAATTGTCTWTGTCATGGACTTACATGTGGGAGATCAGGGTTCAAAACCTGGCTAATGCAACTTAAAAAAAATCTCTTGAAACTTCATATTGTGGCACAATTACCTTAATTACAAACACCTGCTGATGTGACAGGCACAAGCTGGTATAGAAAACACATTTGAACTTGGTCAAAGTTCATTCTGCAAGTCCAATGCTGCAGACAAAGCCATGCTGCAATGACATGCTACGTGGCAATGCAGACTTGTTTTTACATCGTAAAAACCCATGTCTAGTTTATTTTACGTTTTGTTTGTTTACTCATTAGTTCCTCTGGGATTCCTGCTTTCTTTATTTTAAAATTAAAAATAATTACACAAAAAGGCCAGCATATGAATAAGTAGTGCCTGCAGGCGTGCTGTGGTTCTTTTACAAGTAAAAAAAAGCATTTAGCAGAATTAGATGACACTGTTTGGTGCTCTTACAGCTGGAGGCCAAAGAGTCCAAGCTGAGCTCCTCCATGAACTCCATCAAGACTTTTTGGAGTCCGGAGCTGAAGAAGGAGCGAGCGCTGAGGAAGGATGAAGGCACAAAGATGTCTGTGTGGAAGGAGCAATACAAGGTGGTGCAGGAGGAAACACAGGTAGGTTAAAAGGTTCCTTTTAAATTATAAACACAAAAAGCTTTTACCTGTGGTGTCATTCAGAGTCAGGATTTCTGTCCTGTGCTGCACCTTTTACTGACTTTGTCTCATTCAGTGTTTCCATAACTGGTGGCTCAGTAAAGGACTCAACCAGCTCCTGGTTCTGATTACAGGGAAACGGCTATCATTCTGTAAAATAATGCATGACTTAGGCCACTTTGTTTTCAAATGATCTGATGAAACATGTCCTCAGACTTAATTTAATCACAATTATTTAGAAGAAATCAGATAATTTGGTTTAATTTAATGCATTTAAAATTTGACTTTATTACACAAAGGGGTCAGCTAAGTAATGACTTTTTTTCTGTTCTGCTCTTTATAAAGTAATGTTAAAACCCTGGTAAGTTGATGTTAGTTAATTAATTAGCAGGTTAGTTAGCCTCTGTAATGAGACTGCAGGATTTTACCTGCTAACATGCTAACTCCTTTAGCTACAGTGCATCGCTCCTGTTTAACCTGCTGGATAAAGTATAAAACCAACTAAAAGAGCGTTTTGTTTAAGGAGCATTAAGGTTTAGGTGAATTCCTCTCTTGGCCACCAATTGAATGAATGCGACAGGAAGGAGAGGGTGCTTCTCAGCAAAAATAAGACGAAAAATGAAGTTTTGTCTATGGTAGCTTAAATGATATTTAAAATGCAGGAATGATGTGACAGTTTGACACAGTGGTTCCATCATTGTGACCTTTTTAAAAAGTTTTGAGCTTTTTTTTTTCTTAAATCTAAGCAGTGAAATTGAACCAGGAGCGTGGGTTCAGCTTTTACTTTAATTCAAGAAAATCACAGCCCTGAGKTAGATGAAGACAAATCTGAGTTAGATCTTCACCGTTCCCAGAGGGCGTGTTTCTCTGCGGTGTGATCGTTCGGCTCAGTTTCGTCTGTGAAATCGATGGCCCGGACGAGGGGGCGGGGCATGGCGATGATTTCACGCAGCATGTTGTTGGATTTGTGTGTCTGCTGTGAGCGAAGCGAGGACACGCAGATGAAGCAGGCTGCCTGGTCGGGGACTCCCAGCTGTGTGTTGGCGCTGCAGCCATCTGGATGAGATGGAGACTCGGCTCGTCTGGCAGCGCGCTGAAATATTATACAAGAGATGACATGCACGTGTAAACACGTGTAGCCACTTGCACAGACACGGTGTCTCATTTCTCACATTATGGTCGAACCCGTGCAGATTTACTGCTTTTATGATGTAAATGCTTCAAAAGTGTCCTCCTTTATTTCACGTGGTTTTTGGATTTATCTTGTCCCACAATTTTTAAGCAATTTCAACAATTTAGTTATATGTTCAGCTCCCTCAGGACATTCTTAGGACTTTTTCAGCAATTTTTGCTTTTAGCTTTTTCTATTATTTACTCTTTGAAAATCACTAGCCTGTTTCAAAATGTTTATAAATTTTTACACCTTTTTTCTGGTTCTGCCTTTTTTACTTCTTTGTGCTGATTTCAGCTTCCTTTGGCTTCTGTTTTGCTGATCTTTGCTTTTTTTCTGCTATTTTAGCTATCATTCTTTCTGCTATTCTGCCATTTGCAAATTTTTGTACATTTTTAGCTTCTTTATGCTAATTTCAGCTGTTTTCTGCCTCTTTTTTTTATCAAGTTTGAGCTTTTTCGGCTCATTTCACCATTTTTGATAATTTTAGCTTCTTACTGTTTAATTCAGCAAACATGCTCTTGCTGATTCTTTGTTTTAATTTAAGCTCTTTACTACTTTTAAGGTTTTTCCTGCTAATTTTAGCTGCTTTAGCTACTTTACAACAAATTGAAACTTATCTTGACTCTTTGATTTCAAGGTCACAAAATAAAAGATAAATGTCACAGGTCAGCAATTTTTCTGCTTGTTTTACCTTCTTTTGCCTAAATTTCAGCTACTATATTCATTTGATATATGTTTTGTGTACATTTTCCTTTTTTGCTTTTTTTTAAGTTGGTAATTTAAACCTTTTTCTGATTTTTGTGAATATTTACTGATTTCTGCAAATTTTAACTACACTTCTGCTATGTTCAAATGTTTTGAGACAATTTAGCTATTTTTCTGCAGATTTTTCACTTTTGGTTTCCCTCTTTTGCAAAAGTCAGCTTTTCAAACTAACTTGCATTAACAGTTTTGCTTCAGCTTCAGCAGCTTTCAGCAAAATTCTTTCAGCATTCACATTATATTTACGTAGGAATTTCAACTGATCTTGATTTCAGGAAAATGACATTTTTGTTTTCGTTTTAACTCACTACTTTATGAGTGGAAGTTTCCAAATGAAAAGCTGCTTTCAGCAACATATTAATGTGAGGAAAATGAAACTGGAGATTTGTYTCTGTTTGATTTGTGTTGGGAACATGTTTATTATGCGTTCAGATACTGTTTGATCTATAAATCTATAAAGATTGACGTCTTGAATGTGAGCATTTGTTCAAAACGATGCTTGGAGCGAGAACAATCAGACAAACAAAGGCGCTGATCACGAATCAACTGATTCATTGGAAACATCTGCCTCCTAGCCTCAGTTTCTCTGAGCTTAATCTTAATCTTTATACAGCGGGTAAAATAAGTATTGAACACGTCACCATTTTTCTCAGTAAATATATTACTAGAGG